CATTCACGATGGAACATGTTAACACGAAATTTCTGACTGCTCCTCGAATCAAACTTTTCTCTTAATTAATCGCGATAGTTTTTCTCCGATCTTAAAAGAGATTCTCCAAATAAACTCTCTCTAGAGACTCTCTCGAAATCTGTGCTCCAGCAGGGACATTCTGCGATTCCGTTTCCACTGTTCCAGTCACAACAAACGCGCGGACAAAGCGTTCTGCGAACCTACCCCTATCGCGAGTCCACCCCTGCCGAGTTCTCCCTCACTCGACGCGAAAGCAGGAAGTCGACGCGGCCGGCCGCGAATTTTCTCGCGCTCGCAGCGCGACGAGGCCAATTTGCATGAGACCGCGCGAGTCGCACGGGAGACCGAAAGAAAATAATTAATAACCGTCGTCCGCGAAAATACGATAAGCGAGCAACGGCCACGGAGAAGAAAAATACGCGGCGGATCAACACGCGCGCGCGAGATCTCTCACGCACGACGTGGCTATACGGCGAACATACGCGCTGCTCTCCTCTCCTCTTTCCTCCTTTCCTTCTCCGCGTTTTTTCTCTATCCTGGCTGATTTGCATTAAACACCACGCACCGTACGTCCTGCGCACTAATTTATCGTCCCGAGATATGTTTTACACCGCTTTCATGCTTTATACTCTCCCGACGTCGCGTACGCGTGCTCTCTGCTCGCCTCGCCTCGCCTCGGAAGAGGCACTCGCACGCTGATGAAATGATAAAGCACTCCCAGCAAGAGGAGGTACCGCGAGACGTGTCGGGCCCGCGACGTGAAATTCAATTTTATTCGCGATATCGCCGCGAAACGACTCTCCTCCGCTCTCTCTTCTCCTCTCACACACACACACGCGCGCGCACACTCACATATACTCTGGTGTTCTGCCCTGTTCCCCGTTCCATATCCATATTTTAGGGAGATCGGGTGAGGGAATTATTTAAAATATTGGTTTAAATATCTCACGGACTACACGGCAGCCGTTGCGCGCGCGAGTCTGTTTTAATTATCGACTTAAATATTGCCTCGACACTGTGTGTTCGCAACACCGAGGTTTGTTTGAAAAAGTGTCAGAGGGAGTTTCTCTTTTTAGACGCTCGCGTCGTTCAGGCGTTGAAACTCCGGAAATTACATACAAGCGATCTCTCGGAGACCTCCGGTTTCTCGAGCTACGCTTTCGGATTTTAATTTCAGCGGACGCGATCACCTGACAATATCTAATCGAATGACGTATGCAAATCTTAAGCGAACATTCCGGTCTTGGCGGAGGACGCATTAGATAAATCAGTTTCAAAGTCAGTTTTTTTCCTTCTTCTCCTGTATTATGTACGCGTTTCTTTTTCCGTTTCAGCGGCGTGATTTATTCCCCGCTACGGCCCATACATTCGTAATTAATTTATTCGCCATCGTCCCCCGAGCAAGTAAAGCTCGCGGCGCGGCTTTACGCGCGGCTAATTGTTATTTCTGGCTGACAGCCGGCTGTCGGAAGTCTCGGCACGGTTGCGGTTAAAAAATTAATTGGGGGCAGAGGCGTATCGGAAGTGCCGGGCCTTTATCGGAGCTGATCGCTGAGTGCCTGAAAGCCCCTCTTTATTTCGCAGTGAAATTAAAAAGTCCCGCGCCTTAAAGCCGACAGCTGCTCGAAGCTACGTTTACGCAAACTAATCACGAAGATCTGAATTTATTTGCGGGACGATTTTCTCTCTCTTTCTCTCTCTGACAGCAAAAAAAGATTCATATATTGAGAGAAATTTATGGTAATAATTACTGTGCTATAAACTAATTGAAAAACTATAATATACTAAAAACTATTATAGAATCTCATAATCGAGAAATCGAGATCTCAATAAAGTTAATAATAATAACAACAATAATAGAGCAAGTAAACACAACAAAATAAACTGACAGTTTATTCTTACGCCACTAAAAATGAAAAATAGAACTAAAAATTGAAAATAATTTATACGAAAGAAAAAACCATAATATTCTCTCCGTGTGATAGGAGCAAATTTTATTATACGTCGTACATATATTTTCGTCAGATCCAGAATAGATTGGAATATTTTTTTGACTAACAAATGCGTTTCTTTCTGTTTTTTTTTTCTTTTAATCTAATGAGATTCTCGCCGAGATCTCCCGACAGATCTAAATATTTTCGCTCGTCTCTCAACCAAAAAATCCAAGAACGACGACACGCGCGAAGACCCGAGATCCCCAAAGATACTTCTCCGGACTAGCACAATCTCCCTATTCCAAGACGCCTCTCCGTACTCCCGACCATCGCGGACGTCGCAATTTCGCTAAGGCAAAATCGACGTCGAACTCTCTCGCAAACGCACTCCCTGCCGCCGGCAGGGTCGGGAGGGTGTACGCCTTTTTCGAGATACCCCATGCACTCTCTCTTACTCTATCTCTCTCGGCCGGAGTATCTCGGGCGCGGATGAACGTCAGGAAAGTAACCGGAAGTGGCTCTGAGTGCACGCCGGGAAATTCATGAGAGCTGGATCAGCCGGAAAAGGGATCATTGCCTCTTGGCGCGCGCGCTGTCTTTCTCTCTTTTTTCGCTCTCTCGCTCGCTCTCTTTCTTTCTCTCTCTCGTTTTCGCTCTCGCTCTTCACAGCGAGCTTTCCATCCTCGACATCAGCGAATGAGGATGAAGGGAGAGACAGGACGAGCGGGCGGGAGGGTAAGGGAACGGGCGTCGATTTGCAATCCGAACGATATTTGCAAGTTAAAAGCTCGCATTGCTAGCTAGAGCGCACGACGTACGCCGCGTCGTCCGGATAATCCGGCGGATCGAAGGGATTCGTTTCGCTCCGCTATCGCGCGCCCTGGGCCCACCACGGCTGTCTCTTTTAAGGTCAAATTCCGCGGTCGTCTAAGAAAGCGAGCGCGATCTCCCGCCGGAAGCGATCTCCGCGACGCTCAGCCCGCGATTATGCGATTTCCTTCCGGAGATTGCCGCCGCCGACGAGCTGCCTTTGAAGTCGAATTGCGGAATCGCGGAATAATAGACGCGTTACTTCTCTATAGAAGACGTTCGCCAGGTTTTCCCTTTTTTTTGCTTTCGCCACGCACACTAAAAAATTCATTTAGTTCAGTTAACCAAATTTTGGTTAACTCAATTAAATTTTTTATTTTTAAAATAAGGTGGAACAAATGTTTTGGTTGTGAGAATCAATATTTGATACTTTGAATCAAAGATTTGATTTCTTGAAACGAAAATGAAACAGGTTTAGTTTCAGAGAATCAAATCTTTGGTAGAAAGAACGAAATTTTGGCCCTCCGAACAACCGAAACATTTGTTTGACCCTATTTTAACCAAATTTTGGTTAATCCAACTAAATGAATTTTTCAGTGCAACCCGCCGACCTGCAATTTTATTTCGCGACGCAGCTGTCAATTAGTGGACCAGTTAGCACGAAGTGTCGAAATAAAAGAACTTTTTAACAAAGATAAAGCCTCGAAAAGTCTTGAAAGATATTAAGTAATTTTGACTCAATATTCCTATGCACCTACATTGAGAAAAAATGTTTGGTTTTTCATGGCGGTTTAATTTTGTTTAAAAAAATTATTCGTCACTTTGAGAAACTCCTTTTTTGAAATCGGTTGAAGATTATTATAACAAACAGAGACGCGCAGCCGTATTAGTAGACACTAAAGCATGATCTTTGCTGGAATCCTCCGATCCTTGACCTCACCTGACCTGATCTCCTCCCCCACTTTTAAGTGAGAGTTGTGTCGATGTTGTTGTTGTTATTGTTACGCTCGTGATCATATGTACACGCAGCTGTAACTTCGTGTGGAACTTATAACTAACTACCTGGACGGAAAGTTTGCGTCGTGCGCGGAAATGCGCACCTAACTTTTAATTCCCATTTTCTACTTCGACTTAGCTGTGCGTGCGCGCGATAGCTGCTATTTCCTTCTGCACGACATCGATTTCTGCCGATTCTCCGAAGGCGAATCAAGCCTGCGAATCTCCTACTCAACTCCCGCGAACTCGATCTGAAGTTTTCTTCAGATATCATCCGTTCCTATTAGAAATTCATGGTGGCCCTGATCGGTCCCGATTTATGATTATCTAGTTTACATAAGGTGATATCCTCTTCAACTATTAATATAAGATCTTAATTATTAATGATTCTTATTATTAATAAAGCCTGATTGTCATGCTGCGTTACATAATTTCCAAGTCACAGTTTTAGTCTTACTTTCGACCTACACTTTGTAACGCCTGTAAATTCTGAAGGATTAGTGTATATTTAATACATGTGGAAACAGACATCCTCTGAATGGTAGACGGTGCACAAAATGCCACTTGTGGATTCTAAAGAGGATCTTCTCGCGAAACTGTATATTAAATACAATCAAGAGAAGTGGATACAAGCTTCAGAGTCTCAAAGTAGTCGTTGAATGGAATACTGAGGTCGAAAGTAGGATCAAAATTCCGACTTGGATTAACAGGATTCGGTAACATCATCTTGTACACAAACCAGACAATTAGGATCAACTGGATTGTGGGGTAAATTTAAATTGGGATTCGACAGTTGTGCTGATGAGACATTCCTTGCAAATTGCGCGGCCGATCAAAGTCATTTGGATCAATCAGTTGTGCATCAGATGTCTGCACGTCCGCCTGCCTCGCGGATTCTCAGCGATCAATCGTATCCCGAGACAGCCGGTTGCGAACGCTTTCGAAGGATCGACCCCATTCGCAGTGCAACGCTTAGCATCCTGCCTCTCCATCCCTCCTTCTGTACGTCCTCGCGAGAAGTTACGAGAGCTCGTCTTTTTACCTGTTACCTCCGTCTCGTGCTTTCCGCTTTTGCGCTGTACTTTCCGCGGCAGTTTCGACGTGTAATGTAACCCCTTTAAAGCCGCGCACGTGACTGGCGGTTAACGCGAGTCACGCGCCTTCGCCGCTGCCGCTTTAGCCTCCTCAGTCGTCCCCGCTGCGAACATTCTCTCACGGAGCCCGCTCGAATTCTTGCAGGTGCAGACCGCCGCTGACAGAAAGAAGCTCTACTTCAACGTGGTGCAGGGACCTACCGGAAATCAAACCGTCACCGTGGAGGGCGGCGGCGTGAACGCTACCATCATCACTGCCAACATCGCCGCCACAAACGGAATTATTCACATAATCGACAGGTTTCTCGGAGTGCCGTACACCACTGTGCTCGAAAAGCTCAGGACCGACCCGATGCTCAAGTAAGTCAGTCATTAATACTGCGCCAATACTGCAACAAGCATTGGTCCATTACTGGCCGACGTTTATTTACCAGTACTGGTGAACAACTCTGGGCCAGATCTGAAACAAGATCCTAGGTTATCATCTAGATAGTAGCCATTGCTGCACCAATACCTCTTCCTAGTACTGCGCCAGCAATGCAACTCTGGCAACCAGTACTGGCTCGTTATTGGCCCAGTCATAAAACCCTCTATGGGAAATGAGTAAAAAGAAACGTGAGAGAAAAAGAAAAGTGTAAAAAGAATTAGTAAAAAGAAAAGTGAGAGAAATGAGGACCAAGATGAGATATGCACTCGAGTTGTGTCGTTGAAATTTTGATCATACCGTCGGTCTCAATATTCTTCAATATTCTTCAATATTCTTCAATATTCTTCAACATCTTTTCATTCTATTTAACACTTCGGGACGAGTGGTCACTTTTTATGCCATAATTGTTCTTTGCTTTTATATTGGAAACTATTTTTCCGATTCTCATTGAGTTTTCTGTAACGGGGTTTTTGGGGTCGCTGAATTCGAATATACACTGAGAGAAGAATTTAATAAATATTATCAAAATTTGGTTATTATTACTAAATGGTAGACGTAAATATAGCGGGCCAAAGCTATGGCAATATTTATTAATTAATTTAGTTCTGTAAAATAAATTATTTATTTGACAGAAATAAAATTTATTTGCTTCCAGAATATATTTAGTAAATAAAACTTATTGAATAGTTGAGCAAAATAAGCGATTTTGTAATAGTTACAAAATGTTTGGTAAGTTCAACCAACCATCTGTAATAATAGATATTGAAACGATGTAATAGCTACAAATGAATGAATTTTTCGTTGTGCTGCAACAAAACATACTTATACTGGTAACAAAATAAACTCGTACCTACTGAATCTTTTATTACATGGGATATAAGAATTTCATAACAATTATCAAATATCTGTTCATAACTGTAATATATTTCATATTAAATACTTAATATTAAGTAATTATTACTGAATTATTTAATTGATGTTATTGTCAATGCAATTACGTCATACTCCCGATCTATTAAATATTTGGTAATTATTATCATATTTAGTATTAGTTACTAAGGATTCAACGAATTTCTGTAACTAAATGCAGTTTGTTATAGTTACTAGTCTTTTCTCTCAGTGTAACCTTACAATTTTTATATTCAAAATGGTTGATCCAATATGATGGACAAAATTGGCTTTTCCAGGACGTAGCTTTCTAACAGGAATGAAAAATCAAGACTTTTAGATTTCTTCTGTTTTCAGAGGTTTTCAGAGTTGCTGAATCTGACTTCAAAAGTTAAAAATTCAAAATGACGGATCCAATATGGCGATTTTCAAGATGTCAAATTATGTAAATATAACTTAATTTCCGTAAAACTTCATACTCTTTAAATTTGAATTAGTGAAAATCTTGACTGAATTCGATATATGAACCATTTTCGCAAGGATGAGCACAAATGAGCAGATGTGATCAGGTCAGGTCAGATCTAAAATTTTTTTCCTTGGTCGGCATTTTGAATTTCAAATATTCGATTTCAGTTCTCAAAAAAGTATCTTTAAAAAATTTCATAGTTCACATTTCACGGAAATTTAATAATATTTATATTATTTATCATTTTTTCCGCCATATTGGGTTCGTCATTTTGGATCACAGAATTTTAAAAATCTAAGTTCAGATTCGGATTCAACGATTCCAAAAACCCGTAGAATATGTATTTATAATTATCTCCCCGAGCAACCGTCCTCCCTGAAAGGATTAATCAACTAACTTTGCTAAGAGGTTCTTTTTTTTAGAATTTACGAGTGACACTTTGTGCAATTTTTGTCACTTAAAGATGCTAAGTGAGTCTTCAATTTTTATGTATATTAAGCATACCCTGATCTTTCATAATATACAGATTATAGGATGTTTAGATCCTACAATCTATCCTTATTTAAATCCTATAATTCTATGATGGTAGGGCTGAAATTTTAACTCGATGTGAATTTCAAAATTTGATAATTGGGCTCGAGTCGTCACCAGTAATCACGAAACATTCGTACGTATTACGTATTCCGCTCTGTTGCGAGAGCAAAAGGACCCTGCGCGATTCTATTCGCACGACGGCATGATATACTGAACGATTCATCTTTCACGAGGGCCGGAGAGAGAGAGAGAGAGAGAGAGAGAAGTCTCTATCTGGGAAGACATCGATAATTGCGAGCGACGACGAGCGCGCTCTCGTTCTGGGTACACGTGGGCGCGGTTGGCAAACACGTGCGGACGAGCTTTCCACCCACGCGTTGATACGATCTCGGTCAGACCATCTCACCACTATCATCGTCGAGAGAACGCCGTCGCCCCGTCCTCGAAAGAAAATCTTATCCGCGCGTGACCCCGCCGAATCTTCCTTCCGCACGACTCGCTGAGCAGGCCTCTCGTTCGGATTTAATTAAAATAACGCAACACAAATGCCCATCCCATTTGCCCCGCAGTCGTCTTCCTTCCCATCGGGTCATCGGTCGACGTAAAAACTATAACCGTGGGAGTCTCTTACGGCCGGAACAGTTCTGCGGGGCGTCACGTCGCACCTATTAAATTCGTAGCCCGAGTGCGCTCGATATTGCCTCCTTGTCCAATTTAACGTTCGGCACTCGAAGCAAAAAGCAAATAAACTCACCCGGCGAGATTACCGGTCCAGAAACGTCGCCGGATTCGTCGTCGTCGTCGTCGTCAACGACGATGACCTACATAACCCCCGTTTAAACGTCATCTTGAGAGAAACAGAGAAAGAAAGAGAGGGAGAGAAAGAGAGAGAGAGAGGATCCGGAAGGTCGGGCGTTCCGAGAACTCGACGACCCGAAAGAGCCGAATATTCAGAGATCTTGCGGCTGCGAGCTACCAAATTCTGTAGCCAATTAGTCCAAGGACGGAAATTCGTCTCCCGGAAATCCGAGGGACGAGAATTTTATCGTCGCGAAACGCCGCCGAAAGTCACCGCATCCATCTGTCCGGAATAATTCGCGATCTGGTGGAAGTAAGTGTTTGAACGTCTCGAGAACCGCGCGATCCGGATAATCTCGTGGAAGATCAATCGCGGGGAGCGCGTTCAAACTTTTCGCGATCGGACTGGATCTCAATTACAGTTCCGTGTGTCAGTAACCCTGAGGAGGCTAACGCGGAGCGTTGCGGCTTCGAGAACGTCGATGACCCGGGCATCGCGCGTTACTCGAGGTCTTAGATAGTCCGAGAGCCGTTGCAACGAGCGGAGATTATCCAGCGAGAGATTGTTTATGTACGTTGATCCAAATAGCCGGTCAACAATCGTGCCTGGGCATACCGTTGCCGGCTTGCCGCGCAAAGAAAACTCGGCGGGATTATCTCCTGATTTAAAATTATAATTGACACCCGCGCTATCCCGGAAGAGGGTCGGATCTTGCACAGGTAGAGACCGCCCGAGCTTGAACAGCGGCGGCTTTATAAAGAGCGGAGAGATCAGCCCTGCCTAGGTGGAAGGCGGATTAAATCTCGTAAGAGGCGCGCGAAGGTGAAGCGCCCTGGCGAGCGGATAGAGCAAACAACGTGATGTTACCGGCGCGTTCTATTCGCGCGCGATCCCCGTGGGCTCGGAAAAATTTCCGCGTGCTGCTTAACTCAGTTGCGCGCGGCCCCTCGATTCAATTAGCGCGATTTAAGCAAGACGGATTAGACGTTACGACGTTGCCCGCAGTCCCTTCCTCGGAAATCGTTTTCTGGGAAGAGAAAAAGTGGCGAGAAAGAGAGAAAGAAAGAAGGAGCAAAGCAAAAGAGGTGGAGAGAGACAGGGAAGAAGAAAGCCCCCGTAATTCTCGCCGGAGCTACCGACGTGAAATTAATCGTCGACGTTGCCTCGTTTTTTTTCCAGCACGACCTACGTGCTGGGCCAGCGACGCGGGTTCAACGATCAGCTGAACGACACGACGAAGCGGTTCACGTACTTCGTCCCGCACGACTACGCCTGGTCCTTGGCGTCCGATAGATATCCGTCAACGTGCAAGAAGCTCTTCATGCCTGAGTACAGTTATCATGTGAGTGATCTCTTCCTGTGCCTATCACGCATCACCCGTGGCCCTTTGTGCTCGATACATTAATCGCATCGTCGAACTCTCGCGAACTTTCCGATTCTCTTTTCTATTTTCGGCTCTGTTTCCCGGGTCTTTGAGCTATTTTTAGAGTCTTGAAATATACTTTTGTATCCTCCAATCTTCAAATCCGCGAATAAGATTCACACGTACGCTTTTATTCCCCGATGCTTCGCGAACGTGAAGAGTTAAGCGGGTCGAGCACTTGTGTAATTCTGGGACCATGTCTGACGATAAAAAAAATGCACGATCCGCTTGCAGACGAAGCAGATCCTGGAGCGGCACCTTGTGATAGCGGACGAGGCGTACACGATGGCGAAGCTGAAGGAGTTGAGCAACGACACCATCTTCTTGCAGGCGGCCAGGGACAACCTGAAGCTCCGCGTCAAGGAGCACGGCGAAAGTGAGTAGGCCCGCTTCGAATGCATCGCCACACGAACACACATACACTGTAGCCGGTACCGGCTTCTCCACCGCACAGACATCTTAATATCATCGAGGTGTTGGTAGTCCCGCGAATGTTCAGCCCGTCGTGAAACGCGCGCGCGGTGGCAGGCGATGCCACGAGATCAAGTGTAAACTAGACGAGGTGTAAATTCGAGACATCAGGGACGGGGAAAGTTTCCCCGCGAAGGCGCGTTCACGCTCTCGCTCGAGACACTCGCTTAAACCGTCAACTATCGGTAACGCCTTAACAGTCGCGCGTCTGCTTCGCGACGCGCTCGCGATTGTTCCCGTGAGCGAGGCGCGGAATCACCCTCTCCTCCTCCTCCTCCCCCTCCTCTTCTTCCTCCTTCTCAGCGTATATAAGCCATCACATCCTCTCTGCCGTATTTCTCTCTTCCCGACCGTTACATCCCCGCTTGTCACCGACACTCTCAAACCTAGTGCTGTCTGATTACATGTAGATGAGAAGTACGACGAAAACGCAATCCGTCCAGATACGCAATCCGGTGAGTGAGTTAAATGTTTGAACGTCGCCGACGTGCGACGGCGCACACACGAGTGCTTTTCACTTTGTACGAGCAGCACTATGAGTGTGAAGGAGTGCACCCCTTACGCACCGCGCTCGCGCGTACACGTCGTCGTTGCTACGTATGTGTGTGCGCGAGGGAATGACACGTATGTGCGTATTGTACCAGCCGCGCCGGCGAGGTTCGTCTCCGATCGTCCGGGATCCGCGAACGATCACCCGGCTATCTGGACACACACACAGTGTGTCCGAATTTGCACTTTGAATTGCTCCGCCGTTACATGTCTTACGCATACGAAAGCTGAACAGCAGGTCCAGATTTTGCGCGAGAATTTCCGTTTTTATCCGCCCGCAAATAGTGGATTATTTATTCGCGGCGATTAACCTGCGGTAACGTTTCTCCCGGTTAGAAATTTATTAAGTGCTTTATGAATTAGTTCGCGTTTGCTCTTCTGAGAATTATCAAAACCGCATTGAAACGCCGGGAATTTGAAGACTTCTCTTAGATTAATGCACGGAATTGCTCGCATTTTCGAGGCGATTTTCAGGGGTTACGTCTGCACGGAAAGGATATTGTAGCTTCTTTTCACATATTTTCTTTCCAAATTTTTTTTCAGATTTATTTTATATAATTTCATTTATTACTTCATTATTAAAAATTTGAATTATCTATCTCAATTTTTTAATTAATTAATTAAGCTTTCAGTTGTTAATTTTATATAATTTTATATAATTTTATAGATTTTATATAATTTCGTTTCCACTAATGCAGGAATAGCCCGTCAATAAGGTTTATCTTCGTTAAAAAACATAGAAAATTTTGTTAAATACTCAACATTATAAGATCTGCGGGATTCCCTTCAATTTTTTTAAAAATCATCAATTGAAACTAGTTATTTCTGCTTAATATTATGCTTCCACCTACGTTACCAACACCTTCGTATTATTATCATTACAACGATAGAACACTAGTCTCAATAACTCTTCAGAAATTAGGGATAGTCCCGCGGGTCTTATTAAATTGACGGTTCTGAGACTGTTATTTAAATGATGGTCGCTGAATGGACAGTCAGTCGCGAGGCTCGACAGCACAACGGTCGGAGTAGTAAAGAGAAGAAAGCAGATGTAGACCTCGAGAATTGCCTTGAGAATGCGAGCATCCCCGAGCACTGTCTCAGATCGTCTCGGTCTCCTCTCAGACGCGTCGGGCGGATCTAGGATCGCCAGATCCTCATGTCCCAAGATCCCGAGTCCACCGGATCTCGGAAGTCTCTAGATCCTCGGATGCTGGCTTCGTACAACGATTCTAATTTATTTTCTGTATTCTGCTTGTACGTACTGTGTACTGCGTTACGTATTATTGTTACGTACCATGTGATCGTACGCCAAGCTTGTTGCGCTTCCACGCTGACGCTTACGCTTACGCATACGAGAGATCTACGAACGGAATCCGGGAGGCGTTGGGAGGGGGCGAGCTGGCGACGTCCTCTTCCCGCGCGAGACGAACTTCGCTTGGCGCAAGAAAAAAAAAAAGAAGAAAAAACAAACAGAGAAAGACAGGATAACTCGTTCGCACTGAGATTAGCGACTTGAGTGCTTCGTCTAATTATTTTGTATTATTTGAGGTTTTATTGCATCGCAGTCTCTCTACATATATATTATATATATATACATATATCATACGTAGGATGCAGTGTTCTCAAACTGCGGGAAATCGCGAGTCGCGTGATCGGCGAGCGGAAAGCTCGGGGAAAGCTCTTCCCCTCGTCTCGCATGCCGCTTGCCGTCTCGTCGACACGCCGCGCCATATCACCCCCCGGGGTATCCCATTTGAGAGCCTCTGCCTCACAGCACCACGATCGAACTCACTGTTAAATAATACAAGAGGCATCGTGCACAATGGATCGCTCGCAAAACCAAGACCGTCCCGAGCTTCACGACCAATTAAAGCCGGGATTTTCAAGCCCGCGGGGCGAATGCGATCTGCGCGGATTCCGCGCGCGGGTCAAAAGTCATTGAATCGAAGGTGGAAGAGGGAGAGAGCGAGGAAAAAATTAACGAACGAATATATGTCAGGGAAAGAGACAGAGAAGGATGAAAGAGGGAGAAAGAGAGAGGGGAGGAGGAGAATAACGCGCGCGCGCGCGCGCGTGTACGAGAAACAAAAGCGTATTAATTGCGGCGAGGGCAACAATACTCATTGTGCACGGCGGAATTAATTACGACGAGCAGAACGTTCATTGTTGCGCGTAAATTAATCGCAACAACAACGGCAATAGGATATCATTACCTTTGTCGCGCGGGGAAAACGAAGAGCCACTCGTTTGCGGTTTTGCCCGTCTATTGTACGCCGACCGAGACAACCGCCGCCCGACCGCCCTCACGCTTACATAAACACACCCTGTGGGGTGCGCTCGCGTTACGCGTAGGGAGAATAATAAGGGAGAATTCGCACCTTGGACGGAGGAGCGGAGGACAGAGGCCAATCAGAACTCGCGCCGTTGGAAAAGCGGAAAGTGGCGATTGCCGCCTGATCACCGGCGCGATTTCTGATTGGCGTTTCTCAGCCTTCTTCCACCAACGTGTGAATCCTCTTTGAGATTCAGGCAATCCCTTCGCCGCGTCGTCCCTCCCGCGGGGAAGACGCGGGGGATCTCGAGAGAAAGGAGACGACAACTCGCGGCGGAAACTCGAGATATTTCTTCCGTGACTCCAACTGACTGTCAAACGGAGAGGAGGGAACGGCAGAGGGCGATGACCATTACGGTTACGCGGGGATATTAATCTCTGGTTGCTCCCCGTACGTTAATCCTCCCGTAAGCCGGCGGAAGCCAGCTGCCCGTTCGCCGTATTAGCATTAAAGCGATAATAATTCGCGTCTGTGTAGGTCGATACTAATTACTTCATTGGCGCGATATGATCGCGAGCGAGCGGACAGACGGCGAGTCGCTTCCGCGGGCTCGTCCACTCGGCGACAAAGAAACGCGACATTAATTACGTCCCCGCGGACGTGAATTGTGAGTTATCGGAGGTCGTCGGCGAAAGAGCCGGCTCGCGCGGCAAGCAGCATCGTCCGTAATGCTTTGCTCGCTTCGAACGGAAAAACGACGTTGTTCGACTGTCGTTTCTGTGAAAGCCGCATAAAACATTTCCTGAGGATCTAATCGGAATACAGTGCAATTCCGCAAAATAACTATGAGTTCTGATCGCAAGTGTAACGTTTCAAACACACGCGAAGTGGAAAATCCAAAATCTCTCCAATATTTTTCCTTGCATGGAGAGAATATTTTCTAGTTTCCTTCTTCGTATAAATTTTCTTTTCAATTTTATGCTTTTAGTAGCGCGGCAATAGGTCGTCGGTAAGATCCATTTTAGCTAAGGAACATAATAAATTCCGCCAGAAACAGCGGAATTTTTAATACCGAGTTTTAGTTCTTAAAATAACATGACAGAATTTAATGAAAAAATAGTTTTCTTGACCACAATTTATAGCGATTATTTCTCTGTGTGATTGTACTTACAAATACCAAACATTTTTTTCTCAGTGCGGCGTGATTGCCTAAAAATACGATTTTCCATAGTATTTCTGTTTGAATTCTAGAAAATCGACGGTAAGGATAAGTATGGGGTTTCCAGTTGGATACTGTAGTACTGTGAGATAATCGATTGAGACAAATGTGGATATTCTGATCGGAATCCATGCTGCATCTGGAAGAATCTTGGGAAATTTCTATGCGAGAAACTCGGTGGAGAGAGCGAATCCGCGCTGACGTAGTTGCTGCGTGCTTTTCGCGCGGAACGCGACGGAAAAGCCGCGGAAAAGCTCGCTGCCGCGAGCGTTGGAAATTCTCGAGTGGACGCGACGCAACTCTCCGTGAATGGAGCCATCGCGTCGCGTCGCGTCTTGGCGCGTCTCCTCCCGAGGCATTGCGACGAAGCGGCGAATTCCCGGTTCCAACGCGATATCGAGAAGCGGATTCCCATGCGGCAATCGGCCGTGAAAATCGCGTCCCTTCTCGACGCAGCATCTTCGCTGCAGCCCGAAAACTACAACCGAACGCACGCGCGCGCGCACGCACGCACGCCATTATGGGTCGGAACCGCAGCGCGATTTATTATGCACCTTTGGACCACCATTTAAATGCAAATTCCTTGATTACCCCCGGCGCTAATTGCTACGCGCTCGCTCGCTCGCTCGTGCGCGCTCACTCTCGCCTGTGAGCGCGAATTCCCGGAGCGTTTTTCGAGACTCGCGACCGCCGCTCTAACAAACCGCCGTGTGTTCCCGCGAGAGCGAACTCGGGGAGGACCTTGCGAACGGGCGGAGAATAAACTTCGGTATATACTTTCCGTTAGTCCGCAGCAGAAGATATTTGTGAAGTGTAAACAGCGGTGTCGCGCGGGGGATTATTTTCGTGTCGCCGAGACGGTGGAGGTCGGTAAAGGTACCGATGTCTGGACACTTTTCTGTCGTTTTAGTCTTTGGATAAGGATATTTCAAGTTTTAATGTGTGTGTATGAGGATGGAACACAAAAATGTTTCTCGAATAAAAGTCCCTAAATTTCACTCGCGATATTCGAGAGAATTTATTATCGCGGAATTCGCGATTCGGAACACCTGTTTCCGTGAATTTGTACTTTCTATCAAATACTTAATTTCTTTATTTGTCAGTGTTATGTACGAAGTGAGAATGTTTTGGTCCCACTGACGTTTGCAGTAAGAAATGATAAATTTTATGTATGCAAAATTGATGGAAAATTGTTTTGTATTGTAAGAATAATACACACGGAGAAAATATTGTGATAAAGATTGCAACCAAATTCTGTAGTCTTGAGCCATATAAGTATCAAAATCAATATATATTTGTTTAAAAACGTTATGCACGTTTAACTTTTTGTTATAGAATTATTGTAGCTACTTGAATGTTTCTGCGATATCGTATATTTGATATCACAAAACCAACATTGGATTGTCAAATTTACTATTTATACAGTAATTTGTACTGTATAATATGAGTATAGTGCTTTCTCTCTCTGTCTCTGTTTCTCTCTCTCTCTCTCTCTCTCTCTCTCTCTCTCTCTCTCTCTCT